ATATCATTGTGGGAAAATTCTACTACCAGTCCTTCATCCCCTTACACGAAATAGAGTGAATACATCTCATAAAAAAAAATTACTGGCTCAGTCTCGTTTGCAATTGTTCTTGATTAAGAGGCTGTAAATCTGCCAGTAGATATTGGTCCTTTGCATGTACTGATCGCTCAGATTCCTCAATTAACTTGATCAGGAGGAATCATAATGTCACACCATTTCGTTTGGCATTGCCCCTAAAAGGTACTCCAATCCGTGCTGTAGAATAGTTTCCGCCTCGTCTTGGTCTATTCAGCATCCTCAACGACGTGAAGCAGACGACACTACTCCCGATCAAATAGGTTCGTTTTGAAGTTATCAAAGGCTGTCTAACCCTGAACCTGGTAGAGTACATTGGCCAGAAACACACTACAATCAGCCCGCAGAGTGGGATGTCACTGAAGTGGCAGAAAAACCTTCATTTGGGACAGATTCTGCTCGGCTGATTGGGTTCGAATTTGCCTCTTGATGCGGTTCATTGAACAAAACGCCTTCTTCTTTTCCAATTATGCAATAGGAAGTCCGGCTGAGCCAACAGAGACTGGCCAACTGTTGGATGCACGCTTGTAAAGCATGCATGAAAAGACGAAGAGAGAATTTCACTAACAGCGTATGCATAAATTACGGTCTCAAAGTATAGAATAAAACCCACGAGGAGACTAAACATTTTGATGCATGCAATTTCGCTGCGACTGCCTGGGCCATCTTCTCAGGTGGAGCAAGGTATATTCTCGATGTCAAGAGCACCCGATAGCCTCTCATAGCCGCGTCTGCAAGTTGGACACATCTACCAAAGTCTATAAATTGTGCAGTTGGCAGAGATTGCTCTCCAACTGTGAGACGAACGGCAAGCACAATCGCCGGACAAGCCGTACCGACGATGCCTATTCGGACAGGGTGACTAGTACAGCCGGAAAGCAAACACTTGAACGGGATTTATATCATTCACGCTCTTCTCTTTCAACCAAGTTGTACAAGCTCACGATTTTTGCGACTTTATTTTAGCGTACAGAAACAACATTATCCTTAATTAGTCATGCAGGCGAACTGTAGACAGAATAGATCCTCTTGAACGTTATGCCAGCCACGTGTATACCTTATTGCTACTAAGCTCGAGCGGCCAGGGCCAGTCGAGTTTGCTTTCAATCCTGCATTTCCACAGCTCGAAACCTGGAGGATAATTGGACGTAAGAGAGCCGAGTTTCTCAAGTATATGTTTACGCTTCTTCGGGAGACATGGCGGATGTGTTCGCTTCCGTCTCATCTTTCACTCTTCCATGAATGCTGAATCTTGAGAGCACTTGAATTCCAGATAGTCTCATTTGTAAATGAGTATCAACAAAAACGAACTGGTTCTTCGCTTTTCTCCATTCATTTTTCGACCTTTCCCTTCCAAATTAATCTGTCCACCTTTAAGCACAATTCCTGGGCCCATCTGCTGACTCATCATATATCACACGATTTTTATACTGGACATCTTTAGTGCTTTAATTACGTTCGAAACACAGCTCTTTTTCATACTGCTCACATCAGTCTATACTTTGCTCACCTAGCCCGTCAACATTCAGCAAAATATATTTAAAAAGTGAACCTTTCCGGTCCTTCCAGCTTCGCTTCTTCCCTTTCTGCAGTCCTATTCACTCATCTGCCTAGCTATCCATCCTATCGGCTAGCCGGGTACAGTTAAGCATATGGTGCTATTCTTATATACCATTTTGACATTCACCCAATTAGCGATACTACTAATGCATAAATGAGTAGGTGTTCACTTTGCCGTCGTTCAAGATATATGTATTTTCTATTTGTTAGTAGTATCTATTTATTTTGTCTATATCTATCTATAGATCACGCCTATAAAGTTCACTCGTCTTCTCCAGCTGACAATATATATATATATATATATATACCCTCCACTATCTACTCTTACCCACTCTGTCGTTGTATGCCCGGCTACGATGAAAAAGAATTTATCCTTGTCTAGACATGGTCCTGAAGTCGTCCGCATTCTAGGCAGATGAGCCAGCCATGCGAAGTGAATAAGGAATAGTAAAAGAGCACGCACACACACACACACATAAACACACACACATCGTGAAGGTGTAGCAGAGGAAATTGTGACTGTGTCTTAGTGCGAATGAGGAATTCACTTTTGCTTGAGTAAGAAGACTCCTAACACAGCTTTTCATAGCAGACAATGCTGCCTGCCAAACAGTGAAGACGAATGCTTTAAAGTGATGAATTTCTGATTTTTTGAGGTCTTTTTGTCGGTTCGACTCTGAAATTGCACCAAGTGAACCCAATCCCTGCGGTTTTCAGCCTAATGCTTTCTCTAGGTCTCCACTTGTGCGTGTGTGCGTGAGAGTGTACACCGCTGTTCATGTGTGTGTCTTGGGACCACGAGCACGGCCGGGTATTTGTGTATGTGTGTGTGTGTGTGTCTGTGTTTTGTGGAGCCTCAGTGAGAAACTGCGTTTTCGTGTTACCACGCGTGAACCAACCGGTAGCCATTCTGAAGGCAAAATAGATGGAGATTACACAGTTTCCACGACGTCGATCGGTACGGCCGAGAACGTGTATGTGTGCGCCAAATAACGAGTGAGCAAGAGAGCAAGATAGAGAAAGAAAGAAAGAGAGAGAGAGAGAGAAGTTTGGGCAGAAGAAAGGGTTGCTCGTCGTCTTTGTGGGTCAAAAGTGGATTTCCTTTATGTAGGCA